CAAGCCCCCTCCCCCTCCCTCTCTCTTCCCTAACCTTGTACTTCTCGGTACCCACCACCTGGGCAATGAGTGCCGTCACCTGCACGCTAAAGAGGGTGGTAAAGCGGCCCCCTCGAGCCTCGATCCGGTCGCGAAAGCTGATCTGGGAGGGACAAGAAAGGGGGAGGGAGAAGGGAGGGAAATGGCATGACCGAAACTCTCTCTGTTTCCATGACTGTCACGAATTCTCCCCACACTCCACAATCTATCGTAAATCGTTTCCTGTTGTGTGCTCCCTCCGCTATTTCCATTACGGAGTCTACAGCCAGCCGCTCCAGTCCCTCCTCCTCGACGTCATTGGACGACCGGGTGCCTGATGACTTGTGGGAACCGCCCATCAACCTTCCCCAACCTCACCAAGATCATGTCTCAGAACTCGCGCCTCCCACCCCCTGAAACGTCCCGCCTCCGTCACGGACTCACATTCGCCCGCTCTGAAAACCCCGTGCTGCACAACACCATCTTTCGGAAGACCTGAGGCTGTTCGCTGCCCTGTCCGCCCAGCGCTACGTTCCGTGTCCTTGCGCGGCTTCTAATACTTATATTTTGATCAGTGTTGCTGCCGGTGTCCTGGCTGGTGCTGTGTGGCTTGCCTTCTCTGTTGCAGGTGGTCCCGCCGCGTCCGTCACCTCCTTCCTCCATGGCCCCAGCGTCCGAGAACCCCTTACAATATAGATTCCCTCTTCAAACAGGGTCACGCAGGCGCTCAGCTTCACCAATAAGTACGTTACACATTGCGTGGATGGTCGATCTATTTCGGGGTGGGATAAAAATGGAACGTTAATCAGGAAGAGGAGGAGGCCTGAGAGCGCCCGAGTTCGCGTTCGATATGAAGCGGGGAAGCCCTGTATGCCTTTTCGAAAATTACTTCTCTCATGAACCATGATGCGACATAAATAGTCACTCTGTAGTGCGTCGAAATGGGTCTATGCTTGAGGTTTTTGCCGCGTATGTCCGCGCAGGCGGGGCGGTCGCAAGAGGAAGGAAGGAAAGTTAGCGAGGCGAGGCCGGGAGCGAGGTACGCCCGAAATAAAATGGTTATTGTTATAAATGACGAATGCATGCGCGATATGTCTCCAATGCTGTCTCAGGCGTGTTCAGACTGATCTCGATACAGAGCGCTCGTGCCCTGGGAGGATACGGGTGGTGATTTTGGCCACTTTGTCGTGTTATTCGAGGGGCAGGGGTCGGGAACGTATGGTATGTCACCAGGCGGTTGCAGTGGATTTGTGCTTTGAAATGACATACGCTTTAATAGGTTGAAGGGTATAGGGAATGTACAGGCAGCAAAAATATGCACTGAGCATAGCCTGTTATTTGCATGCGGCCGGCATGGCTAAGCTTGGTTAATTACGAGAATCACTCATGGATTCATCGACAAAATGCTGAGTCGAAATCATTAAGTCGAAAGGAAATGTGAATACGACCGTTAAAAAACGCGTGTGAGATGCATTGTTGACATTTAACGATAAGGGCTCTTTCCTGTTGGTAGGGTCACAACCACCTCGAGGATGCATAGCGGTCAGGGGATAAACCTGTCTTGTCCCTTCATCCCGCGTAGTCCATTCGCATTGCTTGCTTTCTTCCGAGCGTTCAACATTCAGTGATGGGTAATTTAAACCACAGGATAGGAGGCGACATGTTATTACTGTGCGGTACTTGCTTTCAGATTGCTAGTTTTGGAGACGTACCGCACGGAGCCCCCGCCGACAGTCAGTCTGCTGCAGCACAGCTTATGCCTGCCACGCCCCAACCACCACCATTCCAGGCTATCTCCTACCCGTCCCGCACGCTCTTTGCGAGTCATTTCAAAGTACTTTGTGCAACCCTCTCCCTCGCCCAACACTCTCGGGCATTCACTGAGGTGCCCGAGGCCACAACGGTCCTCACCCCCACCCATTGCCCTCCCTCCCTCCTACCCTACCTCCACCCTCTCCTCTCCCGCACCTCCGCCCTTCTCGACCCCGAACCGATCCGCCAGACCTACCAGGACCGATCCTACGATAGGTCCCAGCCCATAGACCCACACGTTCGGCCATTCTTTGGCCGAAAATTTGGCCAGGTACAACGCCGAGACCACTGCAGGATTCAAGCCTCCTCCACTCAAACCGCTTGCACTCATCAGGCACGCGGTCAGGGCCGTGGCAATGGCTAAAGGGCTGAGCATGACCGGCCACGTCGGGTTTACCCGAAAAATGCCGATGGCCTGCATCAACGCCCCCGTGCAGAGCGTTTCCGCCGCAAAGGCTTGGAGAGGCGAGACGCCCACAGGCAGGGACGGCACGGCCATTCCGGCCAATTTCGGTCCACAGGCGACCCTCCCTACATGGGCGGCCAGGAAGGCACCTAAAAATTGCGCGAAGACGTAGCCGAGGCTGTGGGCCCACGCACGCCGGTCCAGGCGGCCTTTTCGGACAAAAAGGCCGAGGGTGACGGCCGGGTTGAGGTGCGTGCCGGAGAGGTGGCCCGTGGAAAGGAGGAGGGAGAAGAGCATCGCACCCGCCGCGATCGGGCCCGGCACGGCGCCTGATGGGGAGGGAGGGAGGGAGGGC